ACTGGTCCACCGCATGTACCCATCGGTGTGCAGAGGGGGCCACAGGCTGGGAAAGCCTCGCTGGCCCTGGCCTTTCGAGGATGCCCAGGACCTCATCCCTGCCACCAGGACACACCAGACCACCGGCACTCATGGTCCTCACGCCCACCCTGCCCACTCCCTCGTGAGACTGAAGCGCTCCCACTTGTGCTGGTCTAGAACCTATTTATTCTTCACGGGTCAGTTCCAATGCCACCTCCTTCCAGAAGCCTTCTCAGATTCTCTCTTCGTGACTATTCCTTCTAAGGACAGGAACGATGCCTTCCACACCTCTGTGTTCTCCAAAATACACCCACCCTGGGGCCTGACACAACAGGTCCTCAGTAAATGCTTGCTGATGGACTAAAAGTATAGATGAGCATAGCATAAAGACCCTAGGTTTTCAGTTATGAACCTAATCATGTTTCTGCCCAGAAAAGAACTTTGCATTAATGTTCCAGGGCCACGTGGTGACTGATTGGAGTGGGAAGTTGGGATTCCCTGGGGGGAACTTGTATGGTCTGTGAGCAATCCGTTCATGAATTACCCTTCTGTTTATAAGATCGCCCTTGATCATAAATGCCCATTTAAATTCCCCCCAAATATGTTCGAATTTCATAATTCTTATATGACAAGGCTAGAAGACAAGCTTAGAGACATACTTCTATGTATCAGTCCTGCTGATTCCAGGGGAAGCCAGAAAGATACTCGTGGACTTGCCAGCTATTCCTCCCTACTGTGCCCAGCGGCCAAGACAAAACCCCAGGTATGGCCACGAAATTTCTAAGTGGGCATCTCCCACTGCACTAGGGGAAATCCAAGAGGGAATCCAGGAATCCGTGAAGTCTAATCAGATGGGGTCTTTTTCTTTTTTTTGAGACAGAGTCTCACTCTGTTGCCCGGGCTAGAGTGCCGTGGCTTCAGCCTAGCTCACAGCAACCTCAAACTCCTGGGCTCAAGCGATCCTCCTGCCTCAGCCTCCCGAGTAGCTGGGACTACAGGCATGAGCCACCACGCCCGGCTAATTTTTTATGTATATATTTTTAGTTGTTCAGCTAATTTCTTTCTATATTTTTAGTAGAGACGGGGTCTCGCTCAGGCTGGTCTCGAACTCCTGAGCTCAAACGATCTGCCCACCTCGGCCTCCCAGAGTGCTAGGATTACAGGCGTGAGCCACTGCGCCCGGCCCAGATGGTGTCTTGATTCATTCTCCTGCTCCATGCTTCTCAGCACGATAGGTCAGCTCATGAGAAAAACGCAGGACTGACCACCTTGGTGGGTGGATGCTGGGGACTGGTCATTCGGCCTTCATTTTACCATCTTGGCTGCAAATGTAGAAAGTTGAAAACTACCTTTCCCAGATTCCTTTGCAGCTGGGGTTCTGGATGCAAAGTAGGTTTTACCATTAAGACGCAGCTTCCCGAGCTCTGGTAAGTGAATGCAAGGCAGAGGCCACCTTTGTGCTCCCTTTGTCTGTTTTTGCTAGCAAACCAGATCATGAAAACATGGTTTTTTTTTTCCCTACAGAACATTCCAGCATCCAGTTTGCACCTTCCTGATGCTTCAGAGGTAGTGGTAGAGGTGATGAAGGCAATAGCAAAGACCTCGGCTTCCAGCTTCCATCCTGAATTGCAGCTCCAGCGTGTGTTCAAATGCAGGCCTGTCTCAGAGGGCAGGTACCCAGGTCTGCTGATGGGCAAATTCTGCATTGTCCTTGGGGTCGCTCCCAGACGCTCACCCCAACCTGCTCCTGGAGCTCTTCCAATGATTCTGTGAGCACCAAATTCCCTGCATTAAATCCCTCTCCACTTAAAACATCTAGAATTTTCTGTTTCCCAAACCGAACACCAATTAATGCTCTCAACAGACAGAAATCCGGTGCCCACCTACACCTGTGCCCATCTGTGCCGGCACCCAACTGACCTCTGCGGGCTTTTCTCCTTGGCTCACCCACCTCCCTGGCCTGTGTCTGTGGCAAGGTAACAGCACAAACAATTCATGGACTTTTTTAGGAACATCCTTCCCACGGGCTGTGGGTTTCAGGCTACTGTTTCCTTTCTGGTAATTTCATCCAGTCCACTGGGCATGCT